AAAATTTATATAAAAAAAATCAACCTTTTAAGTTGATTGACACTAGGTTTCTGACATTTGCACCTGGATGAATATACCCTTTTCTTGGACAAGCGCTTCAGTGTTCATGGGGGAGGGGACAGGGTCACAAAGGCAAGAGGAAGGTGGTCATCAGAGTAACTTCCTCGTCCATCAAGAGAAAGGAGCTGAGGGCACACACACAAATCACCGTCTACACGGATGGGCTCGTGAACGCTCTAAGAGCCGGGGCGCTCACCATTCGGCCCTCAGTCCTCTTCAGAGAACCAATCCAGGCAGGCCGGTCAAAACCACCAAGCACACCATGCTGACAGCCGGCTTGCTGCTCTCTCGTGGGTGCGCATCGTCCCGTGATTTCATTTTGAGACAAACTTAGTATTTTGAACCCTTTATCCCGATGCCAAATGATCATCCAGTGCTCTCCTGAAAGCTTAACTCAAGCAGCTGTACGCACAATGGTCCAAATCTAACAGATGTTACAGCAAAACAAACTGCTGTCATCTCAAGAGATTACTACAGAAGCCCCAAAGCTCAGAACCCGCTGTTCACATCCATGAAAACGCTAATCAGCTGGTCACAGCTAATAATACCCATCTTGGGCTGAAAGAGTGTCGAATCTTTAAATCCATGAATCAGAAAGATACTCACGTTACATCGTGTTGTCCTATAAAAATAGCTAGCTTAAGCGAGTCTTTGAGTATCAAGCACTGGGCCTCCTTTTGGCAGCAGGAACAATGCCTCAGGACTTTTCCTGTCTTCCCACAAGCATTTCCCAAATACCTACTGTGTGCCCATAAGCCGTTCCTTTTTCTCTGGGTATCAAGGCCAGATCTCGGCTCCCACTGGGATCACCACAGCAGGCAACATGTCAAAGAACAGATACTGTTATCTGAGCATTTGCAAGAGTTATTCTTGCGATGAATTCTCCCAGAACCCACCACTCTTCTAACTGTAGCGGCCTGAGGTGACCTGCCAAAATGGTTCACTACTCACTTGACCCAGAAAACCCTACAAAATCCTGCAAATCAAGAGGGTCGAACCTCCGGGTCCACTTCAAGAGCACTCGTGAAACAGCCCAGGCCCAAGGCATGTTTATCCAGAAAGCCGCCAAATACTTGACAGAGGTCACTCTGCAGAAGCAGGGTGTGCCCTTCCGACGTTACAATGGTGGCGCTGGTAGGTGTGCCCAGGCCACAGTGGGGTTGGACCCAGGGTCAGTGGCCCAAAAAGAGTGCTGAATTTTTGCTTCACGTGCTTAAAAATGCAGAAAGTCCTGCTGGACTGAAGGGTTTAGATGTGGATTCTGTGGTGGAGCACATCCAGGTGAGCAAAGCCCCGGATGCGCCTGATTACTGAGCTCAGGGTCGCATCAACCTCTCCATGCGCTCCCCCGCCACCCTGACATGATCCCGACCGAGAGGGAACAGCTCGTTCCCAAACCAGAAGAGGAGGTTGCACAGAAGAAAGAGATTTCCCAGAAGAAACTGAAGAAGCAAAAACTCATGGCTCGGGAATAAATTAAGCTTAAAATAATAAAAGTTAAAGCAGTTAAAAATATTTTTTTAAAAAGAGTTACTCTTGCAGCAAGAGTTGGGGTTCTAACTCTGCATATCCTCCCTTCCTCCCACTCCAACCACCGAGCTCTCATCTCACACAGGGGGAAGGCAGACCCCAACCAAATGCCATTAGATGGCATTTGGAACTTCGCCAAGCCTCATTTCCTTTCCGTAGAATATACCCCAAAACCTAAACTCAAAGCCACTGAGTCAGTTCTGACTCCTAGGGCCCTGATGACAGAAGAGCCCGGCCCCCGTGGGTCTGAGACTGGTGACGCTTTACAGGCGCAGAAAGCCTCAGCGCTTCTCATCTTTCTCCTGCAGGGTGGCTGGCGGTCCAACGTGTAACCTACCACACCGCCAGGGCTCCCTTCTGCAAAACAGGAATTAGCCAAATCAAAGCCATTGCCACCGACTTGATTCCAACGCTTAGTGACCCACAGGACAGAGCAGAGAGCCCCACAGGGTTCCCAGAGATGATACATCTTTACAAAAGCAGATTAGCCTCCTAGTCTTTCTCCCTGGGAGCAGCTAGTGGGCTGGAACTGCTAACCTTGTGGTTAGCAGCCCAACCCTTAACCCAGTGCTCTAATGGCACTGGGTTGCCAGAGGAACTCAATGGGTTCATGTAT